GAGGGAGGAAGAGAGGAAAACATGTTGATCTTTTTTCTTTATTCGCCCCGAGAAATAAAAGACAACACGAGGAGGAGCGGGAGAARCTGAGTAAATCATGTCACACCCATTGTAATTTGTTAAAATATAACATTTTATTTTATTTGTTTTTGTCACACTTGGAAAATGTTAGCACTCAGTTTGTGCRAAGGTTGTCTTTTAGCTACTACCGTGCCAAGTTTTAGCTTAATAACTGTAAATTTGACTGAGTTGTTGCTTTTTTAGTTTGCTGCGGCGGCTATATTGAATTTGGTTGACTCTTAAAGATATTTGATTACATTCTGACTCTCGTTCAGATCAGTTTAATGTCATGAGATATTTTGCTGACAGTGTTAATAAGGAGAAAATATGGATTATTTGAATAGAAATGTTGGATCATTAAAGTGCCTGTGACATGCTTATCCTTCAGAGACAAAAAGCCAAAGAAAACTTTGTTCTATTTAAGAATCTTTGCATACCACACATTATTTTACCCATTTGGACACATAAATGGCCTATTTTCTTTTGAACTTGGCACGGCAAAAGGGACACAGGAAGTGACATCAAAGTGGAACTCCTTTAAGAAAAAGAACTCTCTGGTCTTTGTTTATTGAAACATTATGATTTGAACTCTGACTTTAGTTTGTTTTTGTCTGATAACGACTCAAAATAATCTGTATAAGCTGTCGAGCATTTTYGCTTAGCTCTGTTTTCATTCAGACATTCCCCTTTGACATCACTTCCTGTTACTTCTCATGCAAATATCTTAACAACCGTTCATCTCAGCAGCATGAAAATTATTTTTGTAACGTTCTCAGTGTTATATTTCCAAAAATGTATTTGTATTATTATAAAAKTGTTGATGTCACAGGCACTTTAAGCTCCACGTGTTCCCTCCGAGGCTCGTTTTCCCCCTCGGTTCGCTTTATCCCGACGCCGTTTGTGAAAATGCCAGCTGTGTCTTTCTGAGTGTGTTTTGACATGAAGAGTGTGTTTGTTGCTGCTGTCCCTCAGACCGCTCCCCAGACATGGATAATGATTCAGAGGACGATGACGACAGCTACTCCTCGGAGCAGGAGGCCAGCGATGACGCAGTTCATGCCCAGGTTGGTGCCAGGACCCGGGTCCCAACACGTCTCCAGTTTGTGCCAACAGAGAGGCTGTACATGCCTGAATATATACAAATACAGTATTGTGTATATAT